CTGTCAGATGCCTCCCCCACCAGTTATTGCTCCTGCCTCACGGTACCCAATCTAGAACCTCTACCCATCATTAGTTTTGCCGGTTTTTGTATTTTATACAAATACAATAATCTAAGATGTCCTCTTTCATGTCTGGCTTCTCTCGCTTTATGTCTAGATTCGTCCATGTCCTTACACTTAGTCACAGATGGTTTCTTCTCCTGACTGTATAGTGTCCCCCTGTGTGAATAGACCACAATTTATCCACTTTACCACTGAGGAGCATTTGAGTCATTTCTAGTATTTGGGCAATTAATGCATAGTACTGCTAAGAACATTCTAGTCTGTGTCTTTCGGGGCACATGTGTAAACATTTCTGTTGGGTGTATTCCCAAAGACAGAAGTGGAATTGCTGGGTCATAGGCATGCACTCAGCCTTGGCAGATGCAGCCAAACTGTTTTCCAAAGTGTCCGTGCCAATTTATACCCTGCCAACGGTGCAGGAGAGTGCCTGCTCCCCACATGCTTGCCAACGCTCCATGCTCTCTGGGAGTCCCTGCACCTCATCTGTCCACTTGTCTGTTTCACCTATTAGGGTGAGAGGATGCTGCCTTTGTCCCCTGGCCCATGGGAGACACAAGTGTGAAAGAGGAGAATGAAGGGAATTGGAGGGGAGGAGGAAGGGGAGAGAGGAGAGGAAGTGGGGGAAGAAGAAAGAGGGAGGGTGGGAGGAGGGAATCAACAAAGAAACAAGTGGGTATCTCTGCTGGAGCCCCAGAGGGGCGAGTGCCTGCTGGGGCTAAAGCTGGGGCTCCTGGTTCACTCTGAAACCTCAGTGTGCCCTGAAAATGAACCATTGAATAAGATATTTTTAGCAGTTGCATTTCAGGGTAAAATCTTCTAAACAATAGGTTCGGAGTTTGGGGACTCTTGGGAGCAGGAGGGGTACAGGAGGATCCCCTCAGGCACTGCAGAGAAGGCGGTTGGCACTGGGTGGTGAGGGGGTTGCAGGAAGCCATTGGGATGGGCTCCTGAAGTTATATGGTTTAGAGACTGGCTGACCAGACACCCTCAGGGGCCCAAACCCCTGCCGGCAGGTATGTCCGCCCCATCTCCTGTCCTGCCCAATACCACCCCACCTTCCTCCTCCTGCAGCAAGCATGGGCAGGGCCCTGGGTCCTTGGCCAAGGCCAGATACCAGGGCAAGGCCTACTGGGCAGAGGCACGTACCACTGAGAGAGGGGCTCTCCCAACATGCCTTTCGTGCATCTACCTCCTGGGCAGGTGGGAATGGCGGAAGTGGGCCTGGTGCAACTTGTGCAGCCCTGGTCTCCCTGCCGGGTGCATGACCCCAAAGCCAGTCCCCCTCCCACCTCAGCCCCCAGTAGTCTAGATCAGACTCAGGTGTCAGCCAGAACGCAGACGTGCCAGAGCAGGTTGAAGGCAGGACAGCTTCCAGCCTCTGCTTTGCCGACTTGTTCCCACCTTGGCTCTCCTCACGCAGATTCAGCCCTGGAAGAAGCAGAGGCCTGTGGTCTTCACTCAGTGCACAAATCCTGTTCTCGGACTTTCCGAGTTCCTAAAATCCTCAAGGGCCAGAGGCCTCCCCTCCTCACAAGGGCCCCCGTACACTGGCTATGCAGCTCCGACACCATAAAGGTCACCATTTCTTTGCAGCTTCTTATGGGCCACGCATGGTTCGCCCTTGCGTACTTTATTTCACCAGTGGCTCCATGAAGCAGGTGCAGTTGTCACCATCCCCATTTTTCACATGTGATAACTGAGCCTTAGAGCCATTGTCTTGCTTAAAATCGCATATATTCACATGTGTGTATATATGTGTGTGTATAAATATATAAGGATATATATATATACATACATATATATATATATACACAACTTTCTACCTCTGTCCGATGGGAGGGCCTAGAAGCAGAGACACCCCAGTAGCAATGCGCACACCCAGTGCCCAGATCTTGGGTCCTAAGCACCGCTCTCCAATAAGAGGAACCACGCTCCTTAGAGAAGCGGCTGTTTCTAGCGCTGCGGCAGGGAAAACACAAGATGAGCCTGGAGCATCTTGCCAGAAAGTAAGGAAATGCTCAAAAAGCAAAAGGATGGGGTGGGGGTGGGGGATGTCAGACAGACACAGCAGCTCATCCGAAAGAGCTCCCAGGGGCCAAAACTGGAACAATTTGAACAACAAAATAAATAACTCAGTATTAAATTATAACCCAAAGGATGAGATAAACAAATGCATGGGTCCATGCTGATAGAAATAAATGATTGATTAAATAAATGGAGGTGGGGATCAAATCTTCCTTACAGAAGAATTCCAAATAATCCATGTAGATACATCCTCCAGGAGGTGGGGCATGTCTCCACACCCTCCCCACTGCCGACTTAAGTGCGGGTTCCACTTGCTTCCAGAGGACAAAGCCTGGCAGACACCAGCTTAACCATGTAACCAAGGTCACGTGCTTCCCGAGATCATGTGACAAAAAGGGCACTTTGCTTCTGCGGTATTCTTCCCCCAAACCCATAACTCCCGTCTAGTCATGAGAAAAACATCAGATAAACCCAAACAGAGGGACCGTCTAACAAAACACTGATCCGAACTCCTCAAAATTGTCAAGGTCATGAAAAACAAAGCAAATGTAAGAAACTGTCACAGGGCAGAGGAGGCTAAGAAGATGTGACGACTAAATGCAATGTGGGTTCTTGAAGTGGATCCTGGAACAGAAAAAGGACATTGGTGGAAAAACTGATGAAATCCGAATAAAGTTTGGAATTGGGTTAATCGGCATGTTCCTTCGTGTTGACAACAACTGTACCATGGTAATGTAAGATGTTCGCAGTAGGGAAAACTCAAAGAAGGGGTGTACAGAACTTCTTGTACAATCTTTGCAACTTTTCCGTAAATCTAACAGTATTCGAAAGTAGAAGGATTTACTTAAAAAATAAAATAAAATAAATCACACAGGGTACAAGCATCTGAAGCAGAATTTAAATGCCAAGGTGCCCGCCTCCTTAGCCTATGCACGCCACCCTCCTGCATCTCGTGTTAGAAAGTCATCCCCAAAGCCTTCCTCATGGGCCTGAGCTTCTCCCCATCTGCCCATGTTTGCCCTCTGGAACCACCCCGACTCATGCTTGCTTTGCCCCGTGACCTGCTTTCGAGGGCTGAAGGACGCTCCCGCCCCGCCAAGTGTTCTCTATTCCCAGGTCTTTCCACTCTAGTGGGTGACTTGGGTTTCAATGAATTGTCTTCCCCAGCAATTCCACTTGGGGATCCATGGAGTTTCAGGGCAGATAATTCCCCAACCTGGCTCCAGAGACAGAGCACATCACCTCGGCTAGGTCTATCAGCACACGCCATCCCCTGGCCATTATGATCAGCCCCGAGCTAGCCATGGGATCCAAGCTGGTCCAAGCAGAGAGCGTCCCAGGACTTCGAGAATGCTGGGACAAAGACAATGCTCTTCTTCCGTGTTGGATGTGAGCCTTAGGATGAAGTCGACACCAAGGACAGCAGAGTAGAGAAATGGAAAGAGCTGGGTCCTCAGTGATACGTATGAGCCTCTGGATCAAGCCCTGCCTGAAGCCCATGCTGCCTCTACACTTCTCAGTTATGCTAGACTAAGAAATGGTCCCCCAAAAGACATCCATATTCTAATGCCTGGAACTTATGAATGTTATCTGATATGACAAAAAAAGGGGGGTCTTCATCGAAGGGATTTAAGTTAAGAATTATGAGATGGGGCGATGATCTGGGTGGGCCCCACATGCAATCCCATGCATCCTTATAAGAGAGAGGAAGATGTGATATAGACACACAGAGAAGAAGGCAATGTGACCACAGAGGCAGAGACTCTGTGGCCAAGAAGTGCTGGCAGCAGCCATCAGCTGGAGGAGATGAGGAACAATTCTCCCCTAGAGCACATCTCCACTACAGGAGGGAGCACAGGCCTCTGCTCTCCTGGATTTTGGCCCAATGATACTGATTTCAGACTTCTAGCCTCCAGAACTATAAGAGAATAAATTTCTATTGTTTTCAGTCACCTTGTTTGTCATCATTTGTTACAGAAGCTATAAGGAACAAATACAAAACCTAATAAAGTCTCTTTAATATTTAAGCCTATTTGCATTTGCTACTTTGTGAATTGCAACCCAACGAAGTCTAACTCTACACAGCTCCTCTCTGGCTAAGAGGTGAAATCTACAGAAGGGCAAATCCCCAGTGTGGGGGGCGGGCAGCCAGAGACCCTCCTGATCTTTAGCTGGGGAAATAAGGCTCGGGTGGGGGCGGCATCAGATGGCTCGCAGACTCCAAGCAAAGGCGTTATGGGAGTTTATTTACAGACAAGTCACAATAACCAGGACCCACACAACAGGCTCTGGCCAGAAGACCCCAAGTACATACAGGTCCCAGTATCCATTAACACCAGAGCCTTTCCCAGCCGGGCCCCTGCTGGAGGGACCAGGAGTCAGGCAGGGTCAAGGGCATGGAAGGGAGAGGGCCCCACTCATAGTCAGATATCAGAGGTCACCTGGTGTGGCCCCCGTGCCAGAGGAAGAAACCGCCCTTGGCCCTGAAGAGTGGACGCGGAGGAGCATGAGGACAGGCTGCACTCTTGATGCCTGGCGACAGAAGTCCTAGCAGCAGCGCCTTGGGGCATGGAGACACTGCCGGGCCCCTCCAGACCTGTCCGGGAGCTGGTGTCCTAGGCCATGGCTGCCCATCAGGCAGGAGGCTCCCCTAGTTTGCTGGTGGCACTCGTGATCCGTTTATTCTCCCGGAGGTTTCGAAGGCGGGCACTGAGGCTGCTGATCTCTTCCACGTAGGCGTGGGGAACCCACCCCTTCTCACCATCTGCCAGGCGGACCCCCTCCAGCCAGCCTGGGGGCACAGGCCAGGAGCAGCATCAGTGGCATCAGAGGGACACCAGGGCCAGGTCTGCGAGGGAACACCTAGGTCCTACACACCTCATCTGCACCCCTGGGGCCCAGGTGACATCATCTCAGCATCTCCCAGCTCCAGGAAGGACCCTGCCTCTAGCTGTCTTGTGGATGGACTTCTGGCCTGTTTTTCCAGACATCCTGGAAGAAGGGTATTTCCCACTCTCCTGTCAGTCACTCTCAATCCTACATCTTTACAGTCAGGAAGTTCCTCCTCTTGTCTAACTTGATTCCTGTATGTGGTGGTTGATCAACACTTCCAGAACCTTCTCCTGTGATGTCTTAGCCATCCAGCTACCTCCTGCCCACACAAGCCCCATCAGGGAGGCCTTCCCAAGAGGCCTCTCTCACCGTCACTGGTCCGGGTCCTCACTGCCAGGATGTCAGTCTTCTCCAAGGTCAGCTCATCTGGCTGCAGTGCCTTGTATGTCCTGACACACTGAACCTGGGGGCGGTCTGACAGCCCAAGGGAGACTGAGAGAGTCCCCCAGGGCATGACGCGGCGGGCAGGGGGGCAGGGAGAGGCAGTAGGGGGCAGTGAGGGGGTAGGAGGGTGGCTGCTGCTTCTTTTTTTTATCTGCCCCTTCTGAACCCACCCTGGCCGCGCTTCTCCCGCCTTACCCTAAACATAACCCTGGGTGAATCCTGCTTTGGTTTGGTTGCTGCTTTGGTTACTGCTTCTGTGCCCAGGCCTTCCTCAGCTCAATCCAACACCTTGCTCCTGACCTCCAGGCCAATGTCCAACTGCCCCCAGGCACCCCCCACCAAACAGCAATGGCCCCTTCATATGAGCCCTGATGCTACTCTGGTAGCATCCTTCTCCACTGGGATTCAAGCCACATCACTCCCCCCATTTATAACCCTCCAGGGCTTCCTTCCTGTTCTTCTTAGAACACAATCCAAAGTCCTCCTTGCAGCCTACAAAGCCCCGCATGGTCTGGCGTTGTCCCCATGCTGACCTCCTCTCCTCCCCTCTTCGTCCTCTCCCCCCTTCGCTCAGCCACACTTGGCCACCCTGCTGTTCTTCACACACTAAGCTCCCTCCTGCCTCAAGACCTTCGCACTGGCTGGTCCTCCCTCCAGAAGTGCTCTCCCCAGGCCTTTCCATGGCTGTCCCTCCTCATCCTTCAGGGGCCTTCCCTGACAACCTCTTTGGAATGGGAAGCTCACCCCCAATCTAAACAGGACTCTTAGCTCAAGCCAGAAAAGCTGCTCCCATCCAGGCCCTCAATTCTCACTACTACACACGGTGAGCTGATAGTACTGGGAAACCCACAGGCTTGGGGGCCACGCCTGGTTTGAATCCCAAGCTCTGCCACCTATTGGCTGTGTGACCTTGGGCGAGTTACTTAACATTTCTGAGCCTCAGTTTTCTCAGATGAGAAATGAGTCTACCTAACACAGCTGTCGTAAGGATTAAGTAAAATGATTGCATATACAAAGCCTCTAACACCAGGCCTGACACGTGGCAGGTACTGGGTAGAAATGAGTTCCCTTCTTTCCCCTTCACTGGTTCAGCCCTAACTCCCCTGCTCAAAAACCTTCAATAGCTCCCTAGTACCCTCTGTCAAGGTCCTCTGTGATTGGGCTGCACCCTGGCCTGCCGGGCTTATTCCACACCCAAAGGACAAGTCTCCGTATCAACGGAGCACCTGCCGCCCCCCCAACCACCACCTCCCCACACTCCCTGGCCACTCTGGTTCCTGTCCTATTGCAAATGATGCAAAGATAGAGACAGATCTGGGTTCTGTCCCAGCTCTGCCACTTGCCAGTTGGGTGAACTTGGACAAGACATTTTACCTCTCTGAATCTCTGCTTTCTAACTTGTAAAACGGGCTTCTGTGGGGATGAAATAGGAGGATATCGAAAGCCTTATCAACTCCTGTGCACATGGGGGCCAGCCTGTCCTATGTGAACCCTGCCCATTCTTCAAGGTTATGCAGAGCTGGCCCTGACTGCCCCAGGCCAGTTAATCTCTCTCCCTGGCAGCCCTGCTGGCCACATGGCACCCAGGATTGGAGGGAAGGGGGAGAGCAATGAGGTACCCAGCCCAGGGGATGTGGGCATAGCAGGGAGGAGGGTGGCAGGCTGCTACCTTCCCCTTCGCTGATGACCTCCTTGTCCTCCTGGGGGCTGGAAGGGCACATGGCCGAGATCCATCGCTGCTTCTCACTTCTAGGGAGGGGAGGCTGAGTTATCACAACATGCAAACTGCTGTCTCCCAGGGCCAGGGTGGTAAAACGGCTGGGAGAATGGGGTATGAAGTCCAGACCCAGGACCCAGGTCATGTCCCCCACCCCAGGGCTCACCTCATAGCCTTCCCAAGCCTGTGCCCCACCCAGTTCTGAGGATAAGATCAGAGCAGGCCCAGAACCCATTGGGTGCCAGCTCTGCCCATACCCTGCCTTATGCCACCATCCCAAAGCCAGAGATATAAGGCCTGTGCCTGCCTGGGGGGGTCCTCTCTCCCCATGCCCAGGCCCACTCACTCCGTCCTGGCCCTCAGCAGGAACTGGTGCTTCGCATGCTGCCCGTGGAGGAGCTGAAGGAGGAACACGTGTCCAGGGATGCCCTGGGGCTTCAGGCTCAGGTCCTTTACCTGCAGCTCGGACATCTTGGCATGGACAAAGACAGCAAACTTCCCTAGCCTGCAGGACCAGAAAGGCGAGGTCAGCCTGGCCCCACGCTCAGGCTCCCAGCCCCCATCCTCAGCACCAGGCAAGTTCTGATTAAAGGGAGGAGAAGGAGTCCTTTGCCCCTCCAGCACCCTCCCCAAGGAAACTTGGCTGCGTGGGGCACCACCTCCCTGGCAGCCGGCAGTCCCCATACGGAATTGGGAGCTGTGTGGCTCCCGCTCACTGACAGGTGGAAGGTGAGACCGTGCTGTCAACTGCTTTCTGAGCCTCCGCCCTGGGCCCCTGTTCTAAAGAGCCAGCAACTCTGATGAGACCTCTGAACCGTTTAGTGTCTGACTTGTTAACTGGTCTAGAAGCTGAACTTTGTCTCTTATTTGCCACTTTATTCTCACAATTTAGGTCCAATAGACACTTGCAGGAAGGATGGGTGGGTTGCAGGGGAAGTTGAAGATGTTTCATAGGTTCTTTCATCCCAGCTCATCTAAAAAGAACTCAGACTCTCCCACTCCAAACCAGATCCCTTCACTGTTCCCCATTCCAATGAAAGACCCCACCAAGTTCCTAAGAGGAAACTCAGTCGTCATTTTCCCTTCTCCTCCCTCCACCAACCCCCCACCCCACCAGCAGCTATGTCCTGTCTATCTCCTTCTTGTCCCCAGAATTCACTTATCCCAAACCTCCTAACACTTCCGGAGCTTCTACACTCACCTGGGCAGTTGCAAGAGCTTCGAGTCTCTCCCTTTCCCATCCATCCTCCAAATTGGCCAGGAGCAAAACCATGCCTCTGCTTAACTCTCCATGCTCCCTACTGGCCTCAGAAAGTCTAACCTCTGTACCCTGACTTTCAACACCCCAATTTCCCTTTCTTGCCCTTCCCCTCTTCAAATCCAGCCTTCATCTCCCCCAAACACATTATGCTCTTATACCTTCTGGTGACTTTGCTATATCCCCCCAAATTTCTCTACCTGGAAAACTCCTACTTATCCTTCAAAACCCAGCTCATATGTCCCTTCCACTGTGATGCTTTACTGATTCTCATCCAACACCAGGGTATGCTCTAGGACCAGTATATCCTTCCATCAAAACCCTGACCAGGAGGTTATCAGGATGCATTTTCACTGTTTTGAGAGGCTCCTGTGAGCAGAGAATAAGTCCCATTTGTCCCTATGTCCCCAGCACCCATCAGAGGGCCCAGTACAGAACAGGGGTTCAGTGATGCTTTATTGAATGAACAAATAAATCATGAATGAACTCTTTCCATAGCATAAGATGTCCATCCTTCATCGCATCTGGCCTTAAGGCTTACCTCACTCAGGGAGTCCTTTCCTTCATCCATCAATTACAATAATCACAGCCAATACTGAGTGCGTGCTCACTGTATCCTAGGCACTGTGCTCAGCTCTTAATGAATTCTTATCACATGGACCCTCTCTATATGGTTGTCTCTATTTTACAGGTAGAAGGCAGGATAGTATAATGGTTAAGGACCTGGGATGTGGCCTGAGACAGCCCTAGCCTCCTCCTGGCCCCTGCACTTACCAGTTCCATGGTCTTCAGAATAACAAGGGGGCCTACTTCCTAGGGAGTTGTTTAGAGGACTGAAGGGAATGATCCCCATAGCATGTCTGGCACAGAAGAGGCATGCAATAAAGGTTATTTATTATCATTATGACTCAGGGCAGAGCTAAGACTCCAGGGCTAAGCTCTTAATTTCTGCTCTAATCGGCTTAAACTCAAAGCACCTTCAAAGTCCTCTGCACACAGTCCAGCTCTTGAGTCTCAGGTCTGGAAGATGAACGTGCCTTGAATCTCTGCCTTTCCTGCAGGAGCCTCCTAGGCTCAGGGTGCCCTGGCAATACAGCCTGGCACAGGCTGGGACTCCCTGGCCCAGTGATAGACTGGTTGTAAGCCCACTGGCAGGGAAGAAGGGAGTCCAGCTCCAATCTACTTCGCCTTGTACCCTGCCCTGACTCACTCCTTCCGTCGGGAGAGCAGCAAGCAGTCATTGAAGAGGTGCAGATAGACCGCCTTGCTGGACAGCTTCAGCTTGGCAGGGGGCGCTGCAGGCAATGGTGCCAGTTCCACCAGCTCCCCGTGCCGCACCAGCCAGCGGGCCTGAGAGATCAGCGGGAAGATCTGGGAGGATGAAAGAGGCAAGGGAGAGGACAGGTCAGTCCCAGGGCAGTAGGGCAGAGAGCACAGGCCAGGGATGGGAGGGGGTGGGCAGTGATGCACTGGCCTGAAGCCCCCAGGGAAGGAGGGGGCAAAAGCACCCCTTTATGTGTCCATCCCGCTGCAGACATGTACCTTGCCCTCGAAGTGGATCTTTTTGCTCAGGTGGATGAGCTCCTCCGTCCTCTTCATGGACTGCACACTGGCATTGCACTCTTGCACCAGCTGGGGAGGCCGTGGGTGGGTCACCTGCAGCCCCCCAACCCTGGCTCCCAGAGCCCAGCCTCAGGCTCCCACCTGGGAACCAGAGGCTCTGAAGGCCAGGGCTCTTTTAGAGACACATGGGGGTGCTGGGGAGGCCCTCAGGAGCCAGACAGCTCCTGCCCTGCGAAGCTCACCTCCTTGAGTGCATTGAAGGCCTTGGTGGCCATGTCTTCGTCTTCAGAGCCCTGTGCTGTCCGCTTCAGGATGTTCTGCAGGGTGAGGTTGGTGCCATGAGGCAGGCCATCACCTCCCCCTGTGACCCTGTCCACCTGTGGGTGCCCCACTGTGGTGGGCACAGTGGCATCTCCCTTGCCCAGCCCTCACCGCAGCCTGGTGCCCTCTAGGTACCTCCACCAGCATCTTGAGGCGGGTGATCCTCTGAAATGGCAGGATGAGGAAGGAGGTGAGGGGCAGGCGTTGGCACACAGGAGACTCCTCCAGGCGAGCCAGGATGCTGGGGAACTTGGGGTTCTCCAGGCTGGAAAATAGGGAGGGGTCTGGGGTCACAGGTGGGCCTGAACTCCTGAGATCCATGACCCAAGCCACCCTGTTGGTTCTACAGGTAGCTTCTCAGTACATCCTTCCTGCATCCTGTCTGCACAGCCCTTTTTCAGGGACCCCTCCCTCTCAGGCCACCCTTCCTCACTCAGTACTCTGCACCTACTCCGGCCTGAGACTCCCTCTATCCTCCCCGCTTTCAGAGTCCCCAGCCCTACAGCAGGCGCTGGTAGGTGCGCTCCTGGTAGGCCTGGTTGGTGACATAGGGCAGGTAGACACGGCGGAAGGCCGGGCAGTGGTGCAACACGACGTCGCACACACTGAAGCGCAGAACATCTGCCTCCAGCCGCTGCTCCAAGTCCTGCAGGAACCTGAGGGGTAAGCAAGCGGTCAGGGCCAGAGTGAGACCCCAGATTTAGGAACCCAACCAATCGCAGGCTCGGACCCCCCACCCCAAGGCCAGGCCACTCCCTCACCTCTCGCTGGTGCTCTTGACCTCAGGCAGTTTGGAAAACAGCCACTGCTTGTCCTGTGTCCCCAGACACTCGCTCAGCTCAGCTGAGCCTAAGAAGTGACCCACGGCCACCGACAGGCTGTGGATGTAGGAGGCCTCGGACGTGATCAGCTCAAACTTGGCCTGAGCAAGGGCGGACGCGGGGTTGAACGGGCTGGACCAGGCCACGCCGGACGCCCTCGCCTCGGATACCTCACCCCTTGCTCCACCAAGCCGAGGACATCACCTCCTTAGACACAGTCGCACCCCGTGTCTCTGCCCCTCCTCTAGCCCCATTCCTGATCTAGTGCCTGGTGGGGTTCGGGACCCGCCTCCTGTCGCGTGCAATTGTTCAAACCTAACTGGGACCCTCGACTGAGCCCCTAACACCGCCCATCGATCCCCGTCCCAGTCGTTCTGTGGCCCTGCCCTCCCACTGCCCCTGCCCCTGCCCCTGCTTCTGGTTCTGCCTGGTCGACCAACGTGCCCACCAAGCCGTTTCGCTGCGGAGGGTTCTGCTACCCTCCAGTCCTTGCTATCAGCGATTCCTCCTCCTCTGGCCCAGGCTGATTCCACCCCGCCTCTAGCCCCACCTTATCCTAGGCCTCGCCCCCGTTGGCCCCGCCCCGACCCCGCCCCTTCGCCCAGCTTCTCAGCTGACCTACTGCTCCGAGACTCCTCTGTCCCTGCTTGCAGCCAGCCGCTGCTTGTCAGGTCTTAGCACCCACCATCACATTAACAGTCCCATCGGCCCCACCCTCCTGGTCCCCGCGTTTCGTGCTGGGTCCCATGCCCACCTTCTGCAGCTTACAGTGCCGCTGGCCCGGCACCCCTGTGGCGCGGGTGCCGGCTTGGTCCGGGGATCACCTATTCCTGACCCGCCCCTTCTGTTGCTCCACCCCCTCCAGGCCCAGGACCACCTCCCCGCAGGCCCCGCCCCGCTGGGTCCCCGCGCGCACCTCCTGCAGTTTGCAGTCGCGCAGGCTCAGCGTGGCCAGGACGCCGCTGCCGCGCACGTCGGGGATGTCCTGCCACAGCGAGAAGGTGGAGCCTCGTGCCGAACGCTGCGCCCGGAAGGAGCTGCTCGGGGAGAGGTTGGCGCGCGGCGGCCCCGGCCCCTCCTCCGCTCCCTCGGCCTCGTCCCCAGGGCACTCCTCCTCGCGCTGCTGCCGCCGCAGTTCGCGGGCGCTGGCCACGTCGCTGTATTCCTGGTAGAGGACGGCTGGGCGGGGAGACGGGCGGGGAAGGGCTGTGGAGCACCCGCCATCCGCGGCCCAGCTCCTCCCTGACTCCGCCAAGAACCCGCCTCAACAAGCCTTTCCGACGGTTCAGGTATCGGGACGCTGAATTCATTCATTCATTCACTCACTCATTTCATAAACACTGCTTGAGCACCAGCTGCGTGCAAGCTCCTGTGCTGCACACTGAGAATTCAGTGCTCTCTCTTACAGGATCCCTACCTCTCAACTCTCAAAACCCCAGTTACCCAGTTTCCTCAAACCCCAGCCCCTCTTCCCATGACCTCCTCCCACATACAGTTAAGGAGGAACCGTGACTGGCGTCGCTCGCTGTCGCCCCTGGAACCCAGAGCTGACTCTTCCTGCGAGTCCAGCCTAGGAAAGAGAGAATGTCAGTGCTCATTGTCTGCACCCCTGCCTAAGGCCCTATCTTCGAGTGGGAGGTGGTACCTGGACTCAGGCCAGCTGCCATGGCCCCCGCTCAGATCAACAGGCGCTGCCATCGCCACACCGTCTGCCCGCATCTCTACACTGCGCAGCTCCCTTCCAGATGCTTTCCCTGGAGAGGGCAAGAGCTGGGAGTGGGTGGTCCCAAAAGTGGCCCTGGGCACCAAGGCACCACACCCCAGCTGACCAGCACCCAGTCTCAGGTGTCCAGTGAGTGGGCCTTGCCCCACCCCACGTCTGGTTCATGGGCTGCTCTTAGAGCCAACCGGAAGAGCTGGTACCTTCCCGGGCTGCTCCAGTTCCCGACCCAGGGGTCAGTGCCCTGGCTGCCGAATTCCGCCCTAGACGCAGGGAGGAGTGCAGCCGGGTCATCAGCTCAGATGCTGAGAAGCGTCTCCGCTCAGGCCCCTCAAGGACCACTCGGGCGGGCCCAGACAGCTCCAGCGGCCTAGGCTCCTCTGTGTTCAGGGTCTGCTCTGCCATCTGGCCAGGCTCGAGGAAGACAGCGTGGGGCTCGGGGCTGCCAGGGGCCTCTTCACGCTGGTACACCCGCATCTTGCGCCCTGCAGGAAGGTGGGGTGAAAGCACAGGCTGGCATCCACTGGGGTCTCTCCCCGCCTCCTCTCTGCCGCTGCCCCGTGGCCCTGAGCACCTGGGTGATGTGCCCAAGTGAAAGGGCAATGTTTTTGCCAAGATCTGGTCCCCAGAGAAATGGGATCAACAAGAGGGATAAAGAGAACACATGCCTCACTGCAGGGTGGGCAAAGGGTCAGGGAGCCCTGGGCAGCCACTCCCTTGCTGTGTAACCTCAGACAAGTCACTTGTCTTTCCTGAGCTCCAGGTCCCCAACACTAAAATCTACTACTTGTCCTGCCTGTTTGGGGAATTCTGGGGTTTAGGAGTCCTAAAGAGCCACCCAACCTCTCCCCTATCTGCCCCACAGGGCTACCACCCCCTCACCCAGAGTAACTCACAAGCTGACTTCTTCTCTGAGCCATGGCTGGCCCGGCGCTGCGGCTGTGGGTGCTGGGGACTCCAGGGTCCCTCCAGAGCTGGGGGCTGGGCACTAGGACAATGTGGCCAGCTGCCAGCCCTGCTGGGCCGCATCCCTCCACTGGTGGAGATCTCCGTGTCTGGGACTCCTGGGGATGGGGGCCATAGCAGCCCTTGGAGAGGAGCAGGGGTCCCCAGGGACCAGCGGCTGCCAGGAGCCTGCAGCTCCTCTGGGGTGACAGGGAAGAGATCCAGACACACAGGACTTGGGGGCTGCAGGGTGGGCAACTCCGCAAAGGACAGACTCTCCTGCTGGCACACAGCTACTGGGTGGCGGGCAGTGCTAGCTGGCCCGACCAGGTGGGGCTGGAGGGTGGCAGGTGGCCCACAGTCCATTCCTCCTTTGCTCTGCCGCTCACCTGGGCCTGCAGAGGAGAAGGTATCAGAGCGAGACAGAGGACAGCAGGGCTGGGCCACCATACCATGTCCTGGAGGCCTGGACAAACGCTTGTATAGACATATGTACACACATATGTACAAGCACACTCACACATCTAATTATATAGGAATAGCTAATACTTACTTGGCACTTAATGAATGATAGGCCAAGTGCTGTATACATATTATCTCATTTAATCCTCACAACAACTCTGAGTTGATGCTATGATTATCCCCGTCCTATAGGTGAGGAGAGTGAGGTGCAAAGGCTATTATTTGGTGAGTTAGGAAGCCAGGATTCAAACCCAGGCAGTCTAGCACCTGAGCATGTGCTTTTAACCACCTTGTACATTTTCTAACTCTCATTGACATATGATCAGATGTAGTTCCACGCACATCCACACACATTTTCCCCCAAGTATACACACTGACATACATACTTTCACAGATACACTCAGACATTCCAAATTCACAGGCTCACACATTCACACACACTTTTTTAGACAACTACATATTTTCACTCACACACACACACACACACTGACCCATCAGATATTTACATATCACTTAAGCATTCTCAACACTCCTGTTCCATTCACACTCACACACCAGGATGCAGACACACACAGGCCCAGAAGTCCTGGCTTTGCTGTTACCCAACCTCCTCTCCCATGCCCAGAGTTGCAGCCTTCAGCACTGAGTGGTGCCCACACCCATGCCAAGCTGGCTGGGAGGGTCACAGACTGGCAGGCGCGCCACTACGCAGATCAGGCTGGGCCCTCCCAGGAGAAGGGCAGGGAGGTGTCCCAGCCCCCCAGCTTAGGGTGAGGGAAGGTGTCTTCCCTACCCCAGCTCCCAGCCCCGGGATCAGGCCAGGCTGAACGAGTTCTCTCTGGGCAGGAAGTCAACCCAGGGAGGCTGCCGGAGCCTCAGGACAGGCCTAAGGACTCAGGGGTCCAAGCCCCCCCAGCCCTCTCCCTGTGGCCCTTCGCCGCTGCCCTCCTGTAGCCCCTCACCTCTCCAGCTGAGGCCCGCTGCTGATGTTCAGCTGCTCCGGCAGGGGAAGCCCTCTCTGCCCAGCTGGCTGGGGGAGATCCCACCCAGACAAAGAGTTTGATTCATCAAACCCTGTGGTGAGGCAAGCGGGAGGGAGGGAGGGAGCAGGCAGCGGCTGGGCGGGGGCCTACCCTAGCCTGGCCTCGTTGTGGGCAGGCGGGGCAGCGAGGACCCCCCCACCCCAGAGGCCCCTCAGGCCAAAGGGGCAGTGCCCAGCCTGGCAGGGCCAGAAGACCCAGGAGACAGAGACTGAGACAGAGACCTAGAGAAACAAGAGACCCTGTAGACAGCAACTCAGAAACTGAGACCCAAAACACTGAAAACCAGAAATCACAGACTGCGACATTCAGGGACCCAGAGATGGAGACAGACAGAGACACTGAAAATTTCAGACGGACCAGACAGAGACAGATGTGAAGCCCAGAAAACCCCAGGAGACAGATGGACGAATGTTTCATGCCCTGCAGGGTTGCCAGTCCAGTGGGGGAAGCCAAAAACAAAAACAGTTGCAATCCAAGTTGGCAAGAGCAGAGCCAGAAGAGCCATCAGAGTAGGTTGCTGGGCTCCACTCAACCTGAGCATTCCAGGAAGGCTTCCTGGAAGAAGCAATAGCTAACTGTTCTGGCTAAAACACCCAGGGACCCAGTACACATACATAGGGAGAAAGCCTTGGCCGTAAAGAAACAGTGACAGTGTCAGTGACTGGCAGAGAGTGAGGGAAGAGAGGACCCAGTGGGAATGGCTGGATCTGTGACAGGGCCCCCCTCTTTCTGCATAACTCCTCAACTCTTCCCCTGCTCTCTTCATCCCCTGCCTTGGTATGGGTCGGGGTGGGGCAGTCCTAAGGGACAGTTACTGCTTTAGCTTGTACCTTAAACCTCTGTCCAGTTAAGCAAGTCTCTGTTTCCTCATCTGGCAAATAAAGTAGCCCTGCCAACTTCAAAATGCTAATACAAGAATTAAGGGTTACGCATGTAGCACATAGTGGGGAGTTTGTCGTTGATAGTCATTCTTCTGAGTATTATTAGTCTTTCTCCAGTCAGGGATGGCTTGGGCCATCAAACAGATGGGAAAACTGGGGCAGTGAGGGTGAGACACACCCTCTTTGTAGGAGCATGTGGCAGGAGACACAGGGGTTCACTGCCCACCAGATAGGTCTCTTCCCAGGAACCATAAATCCTCAACACAGAAGTCCCACTTGCTTCTGTGGGCACACAGGAGCAAGAATACACACATGCCCCTGCTCCCTTATATTCTGAGAGGTTCTCTCCACTTGGGCTCTGGAAGCCCCTGGAGGGCAGGAAGAACCCTGCCCCCCTCCCCTTCAGCTGCAGAAATAAATGTGCAAAAAAAAACTGATGGAGCTCTTAGGGCAGGAACACCCTCTCCTAAAACCTCAGAGAAGAAAGCTGGGTGAATGTTGGGTGGTGGTGGTGGAAGGCTTTTTGGGGAGATGGGGTCGGAGGCGGGTCCCTAGGGGGGAAGCCAGGAGTGAGTCAGCCTCCACCTCTGTCCAGGCTGAGGGGTGATGGGAATGACCCATCTAGCTGGACTGCTTGCCCTGTGGCCGTCCAGGGATGTGACCCACTGAACTTCAGTGCTGGGGACCAACGAGGGGCAGAGCTGCATTCTTATTGTGTGTAGCTCATCTCTGCTAGGAAAATAAGTAAAAAACATCAGGAAGAGAACTGGCCTAGGTAGCAGGGACATTACCTGTCCAACACGTGACCACAAGATACTCTAGCATCCACTAGGCAAGGGTCATTCTGGAACCCATAGGGGGAAACCTCTGCCAAGATTCAAGGCCCAGTATGTGACACGAACCAGCTGTGTGGCCTGAGGCAAGTCATAACCTGTCCCTGGGCCTCAGTGTCCCCATCTGTAAAGTAGCCCCTAAGGCCCCTCCTGGCTGCCCTTTCTAGGAAACCTGTGTCATCATGAGTGTCTCTGCAGGTTGAGAAGGATGGGCAGGGGCCAAAGGTCCCATCCAGTGGGCACTGCTAATCACAGGGACAGTGGGCCCACTTGGCAAGGCTGGCAGAGAGCATCCCTGGACAGTACCATGGTCCAGGGACAGCGTCTCTGGCCTCGTGTGCCTAGCTTTTCCCTGCCCCCTCCCTAGTGCCCCTTGCCCTGCCGCCCGCAGGAGTACGGACCCTGCCAGGGACCCTCCGCCCCTTAAGGGGCAAAGGCAAGTGGAAGGTCATGGCTGGAAAGGGGACCCAAGCCAAGCACGCCGTGGACCCCAGGAGGCCGTGAGTGGGGACCAGGATCAGGGGCTGGTCAGGAAGCACAAAGGACTCACTGGGGAAGACTGGCGGGAAGAGGATAGGGCTGCTGGCAGCCAGGCGGGGCCCTACCTCAGCCAAGGAGCTCCGTCCAGCCTCCAGCACGGTCCAGGGCTCCAGGCCACCCTGGGGGCTCTGGGGTTGCAGCCAGGTCCTCAGGGGGCGATGTCAGCATGGCCCCTGAGCCCGGCAATGCAAGTTCTTGGGTATTGTGTGGGGCAGGGAGGGGGGAGGTGAAGGCGGAGGGAACCTCGCAGGCGGGCAGGCGGTTGTCTCAACGTGCCTGCACCCCGCCCCCCTTCCCCAGAACCGGTTTGGCCAGTCTGGGGTACAAGAGGGGGGCTGGAACAATAGGAGTCCTATGCCCAGGAGAGGCTCTGAAGGACCCCAGACTGACGTCCTAAAAACAGGGAGGCACTGCTTTTCCTCCCAGGAGACAGGCCACCCCTCTTCTAGAGCTTCCCAACTGTGAGATGTACTCAGAGGGCTTCTTGGGGGCAGAGGAGCATCCTGGGAGCGCCGCAGAGGGCCTCTCAAGCCTTGGACTCCTCAGGGACCCTGAGGACTCCTCAGCGTGCTGACCGTCTCTGAGCTGGCTACAGCATCTATAAAATGCAAACACATCTCTACGACTGGAAGACGGAAATTATGAAAGTTAGCGATGTGACACATCTGGCATCATCCTGGCCGGCCTTTCCAGCATCACTGCTCCTCATAAATGACCCATCCTCCCCTGCTACCTAGAATGACACACCTCACCATCTCCAATGGCTTCCTCCACCAGGAAGCCTTCCCAGACTCCAGTCCACACCAAATGAGCCCTCAGTAGAACCAGCCTTGGGTAAGGAGGGCCTACTCCGTGCCCTCCATGCAATCTTCCCGGGCCTGTGAAAAGGGAAGATGCTTTCTCTCTAATACTACCTGCCATGTATCTGAGTACTCGGTAATTGCCAGGCACTTAGTATTAACATGAATATGTACAAAAACACTAATACTTATGTTGCTAATCAGTCACTATGTGCCAGGCACTCTTCTAGATACTGTTACTGCTCCCACTTTTCAGATGAGGACATGAGGCTTGTACAAGTTGTCACGGTAATTATCTCATTTAAATCATCAGCTCTATGAAGTCCCTATTTTACAGATGATGAAATTGAGGTTCCAGGGATTACATAACTAGCTCAAGGTCACACAGCTAATAAGATTCAGAACTGATATTCAAATCCACATCTGTCTGACTCCATCGCCAACCTGGGTCCTTAACCACTGCCCCATACTGCCTCACCAGGCTTTGGGGAGCATCTGGTGAGAAGCGTGTGAAAAACCCATTGGGTGGTGTCTTGGCTGACCTAATTAAGTCCTCTCATTATTATTCATACAAGACAGGCCTTGATGAACATATAGGGAAGGGGGTCCAGGGCCCAGACCCCAATGAACTCTCCCCTACCAACTGGTGACCATTCAGTTCAAAGGGTTAGGTCACTCCATACCCTCATATCCCCTTTGGCGCCTCAGAGCATCGTCACATAATGAGAAGACACTGCACACAGTGGGTGGGGACCAGGTGTCCAAGGAGAGGTGGCAAGCTGGGAAGCAGAGAGAGGTTTATTGTCAGCTTTGCACATAGGGCAGGAGATGGGGAACATGGAGAGGGAGGCAACGCAGGACTAGGGGTCTTCAGAGAACTCTAACCCTCTTATCCTGGCTCTAGGTCGACCTTGGGGACGCTGGCCAAGGTACTGCCCAAACCCCTAGCCAGAAGCAAAGGACCACAATCGAAGGAGCATCCCGGGGGACCTAGGGTCCTGGAAGGGCAGTCCTGCCTCACTTGCCCCTGGGCTTCGGACACAGCGCCTCTGCTGCAGCGGACAGAAAGCTCGACTTGGTCAGGCTGTGCACGCTGGCCCTCCAGAGTCGAGACTCCAACAGAGAAAATGTTTAAAGCGGGGCGTGGCGAGAACGGGGTGTGGCGAAAGGCGGGGCCAGGAGATAATTACAGGTAATCCGGCCAATCCTCCCTCTCGGAGGGAGAATAAACCAGTGGGCGGGGCCAAACCCGAGAAAAGAGAAAGAAAGCTGAATTAAGGGCTGGAGGCCGGCAGAGGGTGCATGGTCAGAGGGGTAGGGCCAGGGATGGCAGGTCCCGCTGACCCAAAGCTGTGCCTCCGGATTGTGCGCCAGCGCCAGCGCCAGCTTGGCCAGGTACTGCTCACGCTTTATCTTGGTAGCCAAGGTGGCTGGCACGTCGGGCACAAGCCAGGCTATGAGGTGCAGGAAGAAGAACACCACGTGCTGGGGAGAAGGGTGGCCAAAGAGAGAATGGATGCCTTAGCAAAATTAATTTGTGGAGCACTTACTGAGTGCAAGGCACTATTGCGAGTATTTTGAGTATTGACTCATTTCATCCTCACAATTCTAGGAGGTAAATACAATTACTACTCCTGTTTTACAGGTGAAGAAACCCAAGCATAAACAAGTTGTCATTTGTCTAAAGACACAGAAACATAATTTGAACCCCTTAATACTGGGGACCCTGTTAGGGGTAGGGCTTGAGAAAGAGGATCTTGAGCAAAGCTGGAGGGAAATGCTTCCTCTCCTTCCTCCAGGTCTATTGCCAACAGATATGTAGCAGCAGCAGCAGCAGCAGCAGCAGTAATGATATTAATTCATTGAGCACCTATGAAGTGCTAGGCACCATGCAAGTGCTTGACATTGAATCTTCCTAACGATCCTATGGAATAGATCCTATTCTGTTATATATCCCCACTTACGCCAGTCGGCCACAGAGCCTGAACTTGAATCCAGGTCTGTCCAACGCACAGATGGTTGAGCTTACCGGGAAGGAGATCATGAAGTCCAGACGCACAGCCAGCTGCTTCCAGTAGAGGAGATCGAGGTTTCCCTGCATGAAAAGCTTTGTACCTGGGTTGCAGAGGGAGGAGAGCGCGGTGACCCCAACGAAGCTCTCTACTCCCTGTGGGACACTCCCACTGCTCCCCACCAGAGGCTGGCGCAAGTACTCCCAGCCAGCTCTGGCCCCCAGACTCAGCTTTCTGCCTTCCCAGCTGGAGGAGGCAGCCACCGGGGCTGAACTTCGGTTGGCAGACGTGCACCTTACTCAGGGCTTAGGGGCTGCACGGCTTGGCCCCACCTCCCCGCCAGAGCATGGAGCTGGTCCCCTGCTCGTTGGAGGCCCCACAGGCAGATCCGGCCCCTGCTAGGGGATGACCCCCACCTCCCAAGAGCCGGCCAGCCGGGGGTACTCACATCCTCATTGGTTTTTTTTTTTAAAGATTTTTATTGGGGGATGGGAACAGCACTGGGGAATTGGGGGAAGGAGAACAGACAAGTTGCTGTCCTTTTGTTCTTCAGTCTAGTTGTGGAGGAAGTCGCCTCACTGGCCCAAGTTGGCACCATCATTGCGCTCTTCCTGGGCGAGGTAGATCAGCTGCAGGCTTCTGGACGGCCGCTCCCGGCAGTTGCTGGCTGCTCACACTGACTGCTGGCTACCAACAGTAGCCCAGGGCAACCCACCTGCCATTGCCGGCGACTCATGGCAGCCCAGCTCCAGGTTGAGCTGTTGTTCAGCATCTTAGCTGTAGAGGGCAGTGTCACTGGTCCTCATATGTGGGATCCGAACCGGGGCCCTCTGGCGTCACAAGCCAGCTCTTAACCAATGTGCCACTCAGCCGGCCCACGTCCTCATTCTGAATGCCAAGCAGCATGCCGTACTGACAAAGGTGTCCCACAAACCCATAGGCCACTGCATCTTTGGGCAATGTGCCCTCCCACTTTGGGACCAAGCTGCAGCTGTGGAAGGGCCTGTCACTGGGCTCTGGGCCATCTGTGGGGCTAGGGTAGCAAACTCTAGACATGGGCACTCCTGTCAGAGGGGGCAACAGAAATGTGCATTTTGGGGCCCAAGAGGCTGTATGTCAGGACCCTGGGTGGGAGAGGCCCTCCACCTTGTCCTGCCTGCACAGGGAGCTATGGAAGTCCAGGAATTATTCGTTTTTGTTTCTGCAGGGCATTTCTTCCCAGGGCCTGGGTAGGAGCCTGTAGATGGATGGATAGGTGGATAGATGGGTGGGCACCAGGTGGACAGATGGGAAAACAATTGGCAAATCTCTACAAGAGGGTGCACATGTGGAGGGTAGATGGATAGACAGGTGGCTCAGTGGATGGATGGATGGCAGGCTACATGGGGAAGCAGATGAAAGTGTGGCTGGATTGATGATGGACATGAGGATGGATGGATGGATGAGTGGATAATGTATCAGTTTATTCAATTACTACTCACTGGAAAAGATGCTAAGTAAGGAGACAGTGGAGGGAGAGCATTCTGTGGTGGTGGGGGGGGAGGAACAGCGTGTGCAAAGGCAGTGCCATGCTTTAGGTCACATGAGTTATGCACTACCCTACTCCAGGGGGCACTAGTCACACTGACCTTGTTAGCTCAATGTTCCCTTTCTGCTTTTTCAGGCCTCCAAAATCTATTTAACCAAGCAACACCTTATATTAAATCCTCTCTGTTGAAATATCTGGACTGTTTTCTATTTTCCTGTCAGCTCTGTTAGATGGATTATATGATGGATGGTTGGACAGATGGATAGGTGGAGAGATAGGTTATGATTTAAAGATTCACCCAACAAACATTTATTAAGCGCCTTCTATATGTTAGGCACTATTCTGGGACCTGGGAATATAGCAATATCACACACATGGTCTCTGAAACTCACATTCTAGTGTCAGAGGAGAGAAAAGAAACAAGTAAACTAGAAAATATAGTGATAAATGTTGTGATGACATTAAAACAGTGAGAGGGATCCTCTTTGGATCGGGGACCAAGGAAGGCCTAAGAGGATGACATGTAAGTTGAGATCTGAAAGACAAGAAGTAGGCCACATAAAGTCTGGAGGCAGAGGATTCTAGCAGAGAACAGCCAGTGCCAAGGCCGCGGGGTGGAAATGACCTTGTCCCGTGCATGAAATAGCAAAGAACCAGTGGGGCCAGTGGAGGAGAGCATGGCAGAAGCCAGATCACACAGGGCCATCCTGTAGGCTTCTGTGAGGGGCTTGGATGGTTTTCCAAGTGCATCCCATGAGAGCCCACTGGAAGGCCTTGAGTAGGATAATGCAGGATGTGATGTCTATTTCCAGGGTTGTCCTGGCAGCTGAGAATGGATTACGTGGGGCAAAACTAGGAGCAGGGAGGCCTGTTGGGAGGCTACTGCAGTGATCCAGGTGAGAAAGAATACTGGCTTGGACTGGGCCGAGGGTGCGGGGTGGCTGTGGAGATGGAGAGACACAAACAGGTTCGGGATCAATGACTAGATGTTTGGATGGACAGGTGGGTGGCTGGATGGGTAGGTAAGTGGATGCTTCCCCCTTCTTCCTTGTCTGAGGCAGGCTTTCTCTTTGAGACCCTAAAGGCTCCCAATGTTTAACATCATCCTGATGTCAGGAGAGGGTAGAAAAGTGGCCCAGGAAAAGTCTGGGAAGCAGCTAGATTTGGAGACTGGGATGTCAGACTCTCAGGTCTCAGCTCTTCCCAGCATACCTGTGACGTCTGGGAACTCTGGGAAGCAGAGTTGTGGGTCTGGAGGGCTGAGCTGGGCATCACCTCCTCTTCCTGAAAAGCATGCAGTCCCAGTGGTGGGCCAAGGAGCCACTCTTGTACTTCCAGGAAGTGCTCCAGGAAGGCCATGGCCCAGAAGGCTGTGAAGATGCTGCGGAACACAGTTCCTGGATGGTCAGATAGGCAGCCCAGATGCCAGGGAGGCAGAAAGGGCACACTGCAGGCCAGGGCCCAGCTCTGCCTCCCCAGTAGCCAGGCCCAGGTGCCGGGTCCCAAACACCTACCCATTCCCTTGCTTTTACACCTGGCTCACCTTGGCCATGGGGCAGATATCGGAAATATTCCACGAGGCACAGGTATTCCACGTGGCACATGTGCCCAAAGTGGCCACATGAAGTAGGTACCCCTGTTGGCAGTTCTCCTCCCTATGAGTAAAGGGTGTCCATCCTGGGAGGTTCTATTCTCAGCCAGACAGCTGACCCAGCCCACATAGCCCATCCTATAACACCGCCCCCCCTGCAGCTACTCATGCTGGTATGTTGGTGCCCACGTCAACTAAGCCAGAGATAAAGGCCAGGGTGCTCTCCAGGGCAGCAGGCAGCAGGCAGGCTACGTAGCAGCCTGCAGGGGTGATACAATGCCAGCCTCCATCTCTGTACTTCACTCCAGGCCCCACCCTCAGCACCAGACTCACCTAGCCAGACAAAATAGATGACCACCTTCTCCCCAAAGCACTCTCGTACATGGTCCAGGGACTAGTACTTGTTCCAGCATCCCCAGTGGGCCCAGTATAAGTATAGCAATTGGTGAGGGTTGAGGTCTGCACCCAGCACCTGGTACCAGGGCAGTTCCAAGGGGCCCTAGGGGGACAAAAGTGAGGAGGGATGCAGGGAAGTCCCAGAATTCTCTCCTGGCGCCCTGTCAGTGGAAGAGGGCTGAGTGTGTGTCATCTCTGCCTCAGGCAATGGGAAGGCTGGGGTGTAGACGCCCTCCACCAGCAGACCAGCAATGCCCACCTCTGCGCTTTTCTGCTGCCCAAAGACTGGTGGGCCAGGATCGCTGCCACCGCCAGGGAGAATCCTGGGCCAGCTCCATCCACATAAGGCCCCAGCTGGACTCTCCGCAGGCAACTGTCTCACCATTCGGTGCCTCTGCGTGTTGTAAAAGTAGGGGTCGTGGGAATTTACCAGGAATCTGTAAACAGAGCAGGGGTCAGAAGCTGAGCCCTCTGCCCAATCCCAGGCCTACACAACGGAGTTTGGAGTCTCTAGGCTGAGGACAGAGGAATAAGACGTGCCAGTTGCTAAAACCAGAGAGCCTATTTACCCACAGAGTTCGGCCTGGGCTGGGTGTGTTCCAGCCAGGTAAGCATCTGCAGGGGATTGAACGGGTGGGAACTGGGGACAGGTCACGGCCTGGAACCCAGCTTCCAGAAAGGACAGGCCCGGAACTTAAGAGTGGGTTAAGGCAGGAGTTGCCTCCCAGGCAAACCAAGAAAGAGCAAATGAGCCTTGATTGGACTAAGCCTGAAGTTGGCGCCCCCCATCTGCTGAAGGCCCTGCCCACTCTGAGGCCCCGCCCCGCCTCACTCTTCCAATTTGGAGCGGTGGTAGGTGCACAGGTAGAAGTCCAGCGGCTTGTTAGGAAGGTGTTGCTGCAAAGAGTTGCACAGGCGCAAGCGCCGTAGCATCTCCGCGAAGCTGTCCGAGGCCGGCTTGTGTCCAGCCTGGGGACAAGGGCGGGGTCACCAGTACCAGGGGAGATTCCACCCTGAGATGACCTCGCCCCGGACCACACTTCCCACCTGCAGCGATGCGCACAGCCTCAGTTCCTCCTCGTAGAACACGAGCAACTCCCAGGGCGCGCTCAGCTTGGCGAAGTGCACGGCGCAGGCGCGGTCGGTGCTCGGTGGGACCACGCTCCTTGGGGAGGGGCCGGGTCTCGGATGGGCCAGAGCCCGGAGCCCCTCCCTTGGCGATCCCGGCCAGGGGTGACAGATCCCGTTCAGCGCTGTGTCTTTGCTGCCTTCTACAGCGCTTTGACACGCGTTTCCTCGTTTACATTTCAAACCAGAAGAGAGAACTAGCACCCGCACGCTACAAACGTAGAGGTAGTAGGCTCTGAGTAGACTGGGGTCATACAGTAATGGCTGCTGTTCCCATTTATTGGGCACCTCCCATGTGTCAGGCATTGGGGCCTAGCGCTTTACACACTTCACCCATTTGGTCATCACAGCCGCTCTATGGGGCTGAAAGTAAGGTAAGGCCCATTTTACGCATGATGTGCTGAAATCACTCGCGCAGGTCAGAGCTAGTTAGGCGAGTTGGCGCTCAGCCTTTGGGACGGAGCCCATGCAGTCCTCCCCTGCTGCGCTCACCTCCTCCAGGAGCAGCCAGGCCGCACGCAGGTTCCACAGGAACTTATGACGCCAGCGCAGCTGCAGGAGTCGCTGCCGCTTGCCCCCGCCACGGGGGTCGCAGCTTCTCCTCCTGCACGAGCATGAAGTCTGTCCCATTGCAGGGGCAGAAGAGCAGTTAGGAAAAGGTCTGCCCCACCTAGTCCACTTCCATCCTGGGTGGGGAGTGGAGGGGTATTTGCCCTTGAGGCTTAACTTTTTGGTGGAATTTCTGGCGCCAAAACTGGGAGAAGGAAACTTCCTGACTTCCTGGTGACTTCTGACACTCCGCAGTGGCCTCTGCCTGCTAGGTCCTAAGAGGAGCTTCATCTGGAGCCCAGACTCTCCCCCTGGACGACATGTACAGCACCAACCGCATAATTTGTGGTGTCCAGAATTTCAATATGGTAACAGCAGAACATGAGACCAGGTGCTGGGCCCTGTGGACTGCTGAGGGGGCAGGCCCAGGAGGCTGGCCTGGATCCCTGAAGTATATACACCCTGTCTTCTCACTCACTCTCAACAGGGCTGAGCAAATAATGCTGGGATGGTGGGTGGCCAGGTTCCAAGTCCCAGCCCCTTTGTCCTCCCTGCTTTGTTCTTTCCCTAAGGAGACAGTGAAGCGAATTGTTCAGCCCTTGGTTTGGAGTGAAGGTGGGTGATGGGTGATTCTTTGACTGGAGCAGTGCTAACCAGGATAAGGCTGGCCTGCCCGGCCGAGATGATCTGGGCTATTTCTCCAGGGCAACCTTCTGGCTCTTAGCAGAGCTGGGGCCCAAGAAGGATGCTGAACCTTTCTTTCTGGGGAAGGTTTAAGCCCAGAGATAACTGGCTGGGATGTGGGGTGGCTGGTGCTCACACACAGGTGCGCATAGCAGGAGGGTCACATTCAGGCCCAGAGGCCTTCACCAGGTCGCACGCCTACGCTTTGCTGCCGCCCTGGTGTGGTAAGGTCCACTGGAACTAAGAACAGAGGGACCGCGCTGAAGGCCAGCTGCCTGGACGCAGAGCTGAAGGGCACAGTGGAGGGTCTAAGGGCTTGGGCTCTGCGGCTCTGAGGCTCGGGGTCCTGCCCAGGGACATTCCTTCTCTGAGATAGAGGATAAGCTCAAGCCTCAGCTCTGAACCGGAGTCAGGGGCAAGAAAGTGCTTAAGTCAGTCCTTTAGGTCCTGGAAGGGCTGGCAAGCCAACGGGCAATGCCCATAGTGGACAGACGTAGCAGGTGCCATGCAGGCAATCAGTGTGCTTCGGAGTGTGAGCAGGGGAGTATGTATGAGCCTCCTATGTGTGCCTGGAAGGGGCGGGGGGTGTTTTAGGATAAGTCCTGGTGTGTGTGTGTGCACATGATCATGAGTGCAGTGTACACAGCTGCCAGTGCTACCTTCTCAAGAGAGGGCTCCAGGGGCCGGCCGAGTGGCTCGTTGGTTAAGAGTTGGCTTGGGAGTGCGAGTGCTGAGCAGCAGGGCCGCCGGTTCGGATCCCACCTGGGCCAGTGACACTGCGACCGCTACAGCTAAGATGGTGAACAACAGCTCAACCTGGAGCTGGGCTGCTGTGAGTCGCCAACAATGGCATAGGCTGCAGTGAGGCTGCAGTGGGCTGCCATAAGCTACTGTGAGTGGCCGGCAGCCAGCATGAGCGGCCGGCAGCTGGTGTGAGCTGCTGTGAGCCCCCATGAGCGGCCGTCCAATGGCCGGCGACCAATCTGCCTCAGCCGGGAAGAGCGCAATGATAACACCAACATGGGCCAGTGAAGCGACGTCCTCCACAACTAGACTGAAGAACAAAACAGCAATTTGTCTGTTTCCCTTCCCTGATTCCCCAATGCTGTTCCCTCCCCTAATTCCCCAATAAAATCTTTTTTAAAAAAAAGAGGGGGCTCCAAGGGCCAGCTGCCTTTGGGGGTCACTATACCTAGGCCCTTAGGCCCCTGCCAACTGGGTCAGACTCAGGCCAGGCCTCAGCCCAGGGGTCCATCTATGGAGCCAGATGGGAGTATCATAAGGGACTGTCAGAAAGTATAAAGGCCCCCCTTTGTCAGCACCCTCCATGCCCCCCACACTTTAGCCAGCACTCACCAGTGCCTCTGGCGGATCAGGCAGGGGCAAGACACACGAATGGGCAAGTTCACTCACCTTCCTGCTCCTGTTCTTGCTGGCTCCCCACAGAGCAGAGCTGCCCAACAGGCCAACTCACTCCCTGGCCCCACCTGGTCCAGTTCCTGGCCCTGCCCAGCGATGCCTTCTGACTCCCCCAGGCTGGCAGGGCCCCTGTCGTACCTAAGCCTAGCCTGACAGCTTCATGGTCAAGAAAGGTGCTGCAGAGCAGGGCTCACCCCCTTGATGCACAGGTGGACTACATTTCCCAGCGTCCTGCGCAGCTCCATGTGACCATGTGACTAGATGTCGGCCAATGCAATGTGGGCAGAAATGAGGCACACTGCCCTAGGCCAGGGTCCACAGAAACCTGGATGACCCTCCACTTGCACTCATCCGTCTGCTGACTGGATGTTGATGCCCCAGGGCAACCTAGGAAGCCACGTGTTGAAGAGCTCAGCCTGGGTCTCTGAACCAGTGCATGGCGTGCCAATACCCACCTTCACCGCCATGTGAGGTGAGACATAAGCAAGAAAAAAACTTTGTAGAGTTAAGTCACTGAGATTTCAGGGTTTATCTGGTACAGCAGATGGTGTTATCTCAACAAATACAGGCTCCTGGGGTCCAGGGCCCTGCTAGGGCACCCCCTCTCCCCAGTGAACCTCCCTGGGCGATGCAGAAGGGGAAGCACAGCAGGAGTTTGTGGGAGATGCTTGAGTCCTGGGTCCTGTCCATGCAGTTCCTCAATTTCTAGAGCCTAGACCCCCAGGGCAGAGGGAGAAACCCAGAGGGCCTCAAACCACTGCCCTACAGAGTGTTGCGCCCCCACTTCATTGCCATGAATTCTGCAAGGAAAGTGCTGCTGGAGCAGGGGGCTTTGCAGGCCACCATCCTCCCTGATCAGGCCCCTCTGGCCAGTCCTTAGGATGGGATCAATATTCCTGCCCCAGCCCTAGGTCCTGGGTCCTGCCCTCTGTCCTGGGCCACCTGAGGGTCAGGACCAGGGATCACAGGTGCCCGCTCACGATGCTACCACACCTCAGCTGGGAGTGTTGTCTGGGGTGTTGGGGAGCAGGCCAGCTGCCACCTGGTCCTGGTGCCACAGCTGCTCCACCAGTCCATTGAGCACGTGGGCAATGTCGGCCAGCCCAGCCCGCCCATCCAGCGTGCGCCCATCTGCCAGCCGCCGCCCTGGCACGCTCTTCACCCGCAGGAGGGGCAGTTCCCAGGCCTGCCGGAAGGCTGTGAGGTCACGCTCAGGCACATCTGTGTGCATGTACTGGTCAAATCTGGAGGAGGGTCAAGGAGCCTGACCGGGTACCTCTGCTAACTACCCCATCACACCCAGCCTTCTCCCTCCTCCCTGGAGCCCCACAGCCAGGGTCTGGGGGAGGCCCTGCTGCAGTCGTTAAGATAAATCCCATGGGGCTGGACCCCACAGCTGGGTAGGGGCAGGGTCCGCACCTTGCCAAGTGTGGCCTCCGACAGTCCTACGGGCCACCCAAAGGATACTTGGAGCCGACGACCATTCTGACGACACCAGGGGCCTCACCTGTTATGCGGGCCAACTGCCCAGGGAGGTCTTCAAAGGAGGCACGGTCGGTGAAAGAGAAGAGGAAGAGGAAAGCGTCTGTTTTCTCCTTGCAAGCCTGGGGATGGAGAGACTGATTCAAGGCTTGTAACCATGGGGTCAGTGCCCTGCTATAAGCTGCAAGGCCCTGAGAAGTCTCAGCACAATCCCTCCTTTCACAGACTGGGAAACACAGGCCCAGAACAGGGCGTGGCTGGTCCCAGGGCGGAGCCTGGGCTGGGCCCCAGTCCTCAGTGCCAGCTCAGAGCTCTCCCAGCTGGGGCAGCACCCTCAGTCCATTCATGCCCAGTTCTGGGTCCTGCAAACCAGGCAGGCTGGGCTCAAACAGCCAGACTTAGAAGCCCACCTCAGACAACCAGTCCCACCAGGCCCCACCCGCCCAGGCCCCGCTGCCTGCTCACCGGCAACATGTGATCAAACTTTTTGAGCGCAGTCTCCCCGCAGTCCCAGAACTCAAAGCGGAACATGACGACACGATCACTGGTCTGCAGCTTGGCCGGCCAAAATACCACAGTGGTCTGTATGCCTGGGGAGGCCAGGGGCAGCCACTTAGCATGGGGAAGGCCAAGGTAGAGAGGGGTAGGGGGACAGGAAGGAATAAAAGAGTAACGTCCCTGCCCTGGTGGGGCCCCGGTCCGATGGGGAAGGCATAGTCACAGACCTGGGAGAATTCTCAGTCTGATGGGGGGACCCATCTGCCTTGGAGGAAGGAGCCTTTCGTTTACCAGGGAGATACAGCGCTTGCCCCCGCCATGACAAGGCAGTTTCATTCATATGTACAAGGGGACACAAAGGTCCCAGGATACCCGAGGACGTTGCAACGTGATGGTCAATCAGCATCCAGTGGAAGGAAACAAGGGAAGGCAGGTGTTCCCGAACACCTACCTTGTGCTGGCTCAATGCTAGGCATGTTGCCACCGCTATCTCTAGTACCAAACCCCCAACAACCCCGTGGGACTGGTACTGTTGTCCCTGTTAGACAGAGGAGCCAATGTAGGCTCAGAGAGGTGAAGTGACTTTCCAAGGCTGCAGAATAACGGTGGGGCTGGTTACCACGTACGCAGTCCAGGGCCAGAGTCTTTTCTTCAGCCCAGTGAAGGCCTTCAGGGATGGACTCACCAGTGGTCTCGTGGTGTACCACGGGCACCTCCAGACCAGCTAGCTTGGCCACTAGCGCCGTCTTGCCCACGCCACTCTTCCCAGACACGAAGATCTTGTAGCTGGCTGTGTCAATGGCCAAGGGCGGGGGCAGCACTGGTCGCTCGAGCAGCCCTCGGGGCAAGGAGGGAGCCAGGTGGGGTCAGGGGGTCAGTCTGCACTTGCCCTTCAGACCCTGGGTTGGACAACCTCATCTCTAAGGGCTTTTTCAGTGCTAACCACCCATGGTACTCTATACGCATTACACAGGCCTGGGACGTGACGTAAGCAGCAGCCCTGGACGAGCAGCTCTGCTGAGAACATCATGCTCTGTGAGCTGAGCCAAGGCCCACCCCAAATAACACCAAATTCTTTTTTTTAAGTTGGATGCATGCGATAGTTTTCATTGATATTATCATCACGTGTTCTAGATTTCTCACATGGAAAAGCAAGGTTTTTCATAATTCTTTCCTCGGTGGAGAAATATCAGCAAAAGTAGTCTCAATTACTATAAATAAACTTAGAATCACTATATCAAGATATTTGTGAATGTTTTAAATTTAAAACTTGCAAAAAACTGTCTAAGTTATGATACGTCTGTAGGCTTAGGACCTCAAAGTCCTAAGTTGTGGGTTGCCCTCTCATTCTCTGGTCTACAGCCTTCTGACACTGTCTCTCCTGGTCTGAGCTGGCCTCTCACAGCCGAATGCCAGGCCCGCCTGCTGGCCTGTCAGCCCTGCTCTGTCTGGGGGAGTTGGCTTCATTCTGGAGACAGCAGGATATGAAAGAGGCTTGTCTCTACTCACCAGTCTTAACAAGTCTGTAAGATTGTGATGTTGAGAAAATTAAACGGGAGTCTGTTGTGTCAAGTGCCCAGCAGAGGGCCTGGCACCAGGTGAGGGCTCAATCAACAACCTCTCTGGTGACAGTAGTTCCTGGCAGGGTTTTGCCTGTTTCCTGGCTCTGATGATGGAATTAGCGCTAAGGAGATTTGGGGGTGGGGGCCCCAGGGATAGAGCTTCTAGGGGTCCCTAAGGTTGAGAAGTACAGTGCAGCAGGCCCTCTCTGCTCTGCTTCTCTGCCCCCCCCCCTCAGGGAGCAACAGGTGACACTGTTCTCCCCAAGGAATGACATGTGACAGGCTGGGGGGGGGCACTTACCAAACACCCTCCGGCGGTTCTTGCGCAGGATGCAGGCCAGGTACTCCTTGCCCTCGGGGCTCTCGTGCCAGTCTGGGACAATCACCGAGCCCGGCGCGGGTGGTCTGGCCATGGCTGGGCACCCTGATGGGGTAGCGAGAAGGCGGAATGCTGAGAGCAGGGGAAGGGAGGGGGTACCTGTCCCAGCCTGGACCTGTGACCCCTCTTAACCTGCCCTCTGACTCTCCTGTGGAGCCACAGCTTCCCTCCTTGGGTGGTGAAGCAGTTAAGAAGCCCCACCCTTCTTTTTATCCCAATTAGCATTTTTGGAGTCCAAGCTCCCTTTCACTGTCCTGGGGGGAGGGGGAGATTACACATCCCTGTCTCCCTCCTATTACCCAGAAGGCGCAATTCCATACTACCTTCTATACCCCCCACCCCCACGCTGCTCCCTGCGGGGACAGCTTTCCCATTAGTGCCCCGAGGGCATTTACACAGCCCTTCTTTCTCTCCCTTGTCACCTCCGGGAGTGGTCACACAGCCCTGTTTCTCCTCTACCTCCTTGATATCCGACTCTCGGGGCCACTGGGCCCTCAGCATCAGCAGTCCCCGCAGACAAACAGGTCCCTTTAAAAGTTCGCCTTGTGTTCCCGCCGGCCAGGCCTGCTTCCGCCCGTCCTGAGTTTGGCTTCGGAGCGTGTTGCCTAGCCAGGAGCGGGTGCGCGAGGCGCATGTGCGGAGGGGGTTGTCATGGAGACGCCAGGGGCGGGATTGGGGTGCTGGGTTCCCGGCGGCTTGGTCGGCAGATTCCACCGTTCAGTGACAGCCAGGACCTTTCTAGCCTCTGTGTTCCCTCTTCTATAAAGTGAAGTAAAATGCTATTATCTCCTAAGGTTCTTCACAATAGACCCCGGTCCACAGCACTGCTCAATAAGTATTATTATTATTATTATTATTATTATTATTATTACTACTACTACTACTCTATTAATCCTACTTGGCAGGACCTCGAGATGAGTTAAACGTCTCTGGCTTCACAGATAGGGAAAAAGCAACTCAGAGAGCTCAAGGGACTTGCTCAAGGTCTTATAAAGGAGTCAGAGGCCCACTGGTCAAGTATTTATTGACTGATTCATCCTGTTCATTCAGAGCACCTACTATGTGCCAGGCTGAGAATACACTGGCGAACAGGAAGTCCCCGGAGCTGACATTTCAGCCCTGAGGCCATGAGCCCCTATCCGCTGTTCCAACAAAGGTCACTGGGCCTGATACCCAGGAGGTGTGTGATCAGTAAATGCTTGTTGGACAGGATGCAGGTGGGTCATTACTGGGAGGTTGTCTGTTACACTTAACTATTACCAACGTCCTCTTGCAATACCTTCCGGTAGGGCAAATCACCATTGTGTAAGGAATAACCTATGAGTTAACGTCTACTAAAGGCCAACTAAGTGCCAGACAGTGGGTGCTTTACAGAGGTTACCTCATTTACTCCCATAAACAAACCTGTGTAGGAAATAGTATTTGCTCTCGTTTGATTTACAGATGAGGAAGCTCAGAGACAACATGATTGTCTGAGGTCCCACCGCACAGGTGGTCAATGGGAAAACTAGACTCCGAACCCAGGGTTCCTGGAGTCTGAAGCATGTGTCTATTCTGCCCGATGGGGTTGTATGTTTTTAAAGCTTTGCCCCAGCCTAGGAGGGCTGTTCCTAGTGAAGCAGAAAGCAGCCAGAGGACCATGAATCCACAAATCATGGAGGCCCATTATGTCCAAGGGGGCCGAGGGGACGAGGATGTGTAAGACAGGGCCCTTGACTTGCTTCCACTGCAACTAGGAAGAGATAGGACGAATGAATAACCACTCCTCCAGGATTCTGCACTTGAAACCATTGCCTATACTCCCAGGTCACTTAGTTCCCTTTCCTGCAGTCTTTACCAGCATCTGCCCGCTGTCATGGTTATTCACAGCTGTGTGGAGCTCTCTCCACTGACTGCGAGTGCCTCAGGGCTCAGATCTGACTTACCCCTGGGTTTCCAGACTTCACATCCAGCCCTGCACTGGCTTGGCTCATGGAGGGCTCAGGGAGAGTGTGAGGAAATGACGGCAACTTGGCAGAATGAGCTTGCCAATTAACCTGAAGGCCAGATAAGATGTGATGTCCCCTTGGGCACAGAGAGGGAGGCTGGTGGTCAGAGGAGCTGGTGGCCAGAGAATTAGGGGAATCAGTCTTCACTGCCCTCGGGAGCTCATGGAGCGGACACTCCACTGAGCACCAGGAGCCCATTGAAAACATGGATTCTTGGGCTCCGTCCCCCAGAGATTCTGCTTTGGGGAGTTGGAGGGGTCTATGAACCTGCACATTTAACAAGAGCACTGGGCAGCTCAGAAGCTGGGTTCTGTATCTGTCTACTTGGGCTGCCGTAACAGAGTACCACAGGCTAGGCGGCTTAAACAACAGAAATTTACTTCTTCACAGTTTTGGTAGCTGGAAGTCCAAGATCAAGGTGCCAGCATGGCTGGGCTCTGGTGAGGCCTCTCTTCCTGATTTGCAGATGGCCACCTTCTCACTGTGTCCTCACATGGCCTCTCCTCTGTACACACACACTCTTGGTGTCTTTCTTTTAATAAGGACACTAGGCTTATTGGATTAGAGCCCCACCCTCATGACTTCATTTAACCTTAATTACCTCCTTAAGGCCCTGTCTCCAAAGAAGTCACATTAAGGGTTAGGTCTTTAACATATAGATGGGGGGAGGGGCACAATTCAGTCCATAACAGGCTCCACAGACCTCACTTAGATAAACACCACTGCTGGAGACAGGAAGTCAGTCAGGTTGGGGCCTGGGAGTGACGTGGTCAGAATTGCATTTCTGAAGGATGCTTGGGAACCATCCTGCTCTAGTGAGTTCCCCTCTCCTATGTCCCTTTGACCACTAACTTGTGTGTCCCCCCCTAAGCAAGTTCTTCTCCTCTTAGGGCCTCAGGTAAAGCAGGTGGACCACCTACCTAAAGGCTCTTCTAGTGTAGAACCTTCTGATTAATCCACTCTTTTCTTTCTTTTTTCAAAAAAGATTTTATTGGGGAATTGGGGGAGGAAAACAGTGTTGGGGAATCGGCGAAGTGGGAACATACAAGTTGCTGTCCTTTTGTTCTTCAGTCTAGTTGTGGAGGATACCGCTTCACTGGCCCATGTTAGTATTATCATTGCGCTCTTCCTGAGCGAGGCAATGGCTCGCTGGCCATTGGACGGCCACTCACGGCATCTCACAGCAGCTCTCACCAGCTGCTGGCCGCTCATACTGGCTGCTGGCCACTCACGGTAATTCACGGCAGCCCACTGCAGCAGGGGCTGCAGCCTACGCCATCGCTGGCCATTCATGGCAGCCCAGCTCCAGGTCGAGCTATTGTTCTCAATCTTAACTGTAGAGGGCGCAGCGTCACTGGCCTATGTGGGAACCAAACCGGCAGCCCTGCTGCTCAGAGCTCATGCTCCCAAGCCAACTGTTAACCAACTGAGCCACTCAGCCAGCCCTAATCCACTCTTTTCTTAATGGTTTGGTCTTCCCCCCAAGATTGACAGAGCACCTCCTGTACAAGGCCCCACGAGGCCTCAAGAAGAGGGTTTATCAAGGCAGGGACGCAGTCACCAGCTTTGAGGAGTAGATGGCCCAGGTGGGCAGACTCACACACAGGCCTGAGGACCTGAAGGGGAGGGGTGGCTGGGCCACCCAGGGAGGTAAGTGGAGAAGGGACACAGTCAGATTTGTTTTTTCATCTCCTGGCCCCTGCAGCTGCTTCCTTTGGGGTTTCCCTACTTGCCCTCTGGAATGCCACCCAGGAGCCAGAGTGCTCTTTTTTTTTTTTTTAGCTGAGCCATCCTGCCACCTGTTGGCAGCTCAGCGGCTGCTCAGCTCGGGCTGGACTCGAACCGCTGTTGCTCAGAGCTCAAACTCTTGAGCGAGCTCTTAACCAACTGAGCCACTTGGCCGGCCCCAGAGTGCTCTTTTTGTCATGCAAGTCAGTCCAGTAGTATCACACCCGTGTTTATAGTCTTGCCATCGTTTCACTGCCCTCAGAATAAAATCCAAATACCATGCCTTCAAGGCCTTCTGTGACTGGTCCCTGACGCCTTGCTTTCATTTCAGTTGCCACCCTCTTCCCCTGGCCTGCTATACTCCAGCGACCCTGGCCTTTTTCTGTTCCATTTTAGGGCATCTGCGATGCAGTTTCCAGCACCTGGAGTTCTCCATACCAACCCCAGTACCGCACATGGATGGCCGCTTCCCCTCGCTCAGGTCTCGGGTTGAATGTCACCTGCACAGAGAGGCCTTCCCCTTCTACCATTCAAGGGTTTGCCCCCGTGTCCCAGGCTCACCCTTTCACATCACCCGGTTCTTGGTCCTGACATTTTAAAATGTATTGTCTGTCTCCCTTACCTAGGAATACGCTCCATGAGGATAGGGGCCTTGTCTTTTTATTATATCCCTGTGTTGGTTTCCTAGAGCTGCAGTGACAAAGTACCAGAGACTGGGTGGCTTAAACAACAGAAATGTACTCTCAGTTCTGGAGGCTAGAAATCCAAGATCAAGGTGTCGGTAGGGTTGATTCCTTCTGAGGGCTGTGAGGGAAAGATCTGTTCCAGGCCTCTCTCTGGCTTGTAGGTGGCCCTCTTCTCCCTGTGTCTTTACACTGCCTTCCCTCTGTACGAGTCTGTGTCCAAACCTCCTCTTATAATGACACCAGTCATATTGGTTAGGGCCACCCTGGTGACCTCACTTCAATCACCTCAGTAAAGAACCTATCTACAAATAGGATCACATTCTGAGGTACTGGGGGTTAGGACCTAAACATATGAAGCGGGGGTGGTGCATAATTCAGCCCATAATAATCCCTACTACCTAAACATATGTCTGACATAGAGTAAAAATTTAATAAAAATGTGTTGACTGACTGGCTATGGCTGAAGCTTGGAGGATGGCCTGAAGAATCGCGAGCCTGGAAGGAGGACCAGTAAGGAAGCAGGTGGACCTTCCAGGCAGGAGTGGACGAGGACATGTATTTGTCAAATACTGATGGGCACTCCCTGTGGCAGGCCAGACGCTGGGAAGACAGTAGTGAGATGCAGACCTTGCCCTTGGGTATTCCACACTCTGGTAGGACTCCAATCAAAGAACTAGGCAACTACACTTAGAAGCAGGGCAGTAGGGTAGAGAGGAGGGCAGACTAAAAATGTCCAGATTCCATTTAAATATAGGATTTGGGGCTGGAGCTGCCAAATCACCCCCAGAGAGTTCTTTTGAGGCTGGGATGTACCAGGCTTGGGCTTGGCAGCAAGGTTGGTGTCCTTGACCTGGACAGCCTCATGTGTCCTTCCTCTGCTGAAAACCTCCTTAATGGCTTTCCATGGCACCTGGAGTCATGTCCACCTCCCGTCCTTCACCGTGGCCTACGAGGCCCACCTGCGCACTCTGCCCCCAGGCACATGCTCCAGTCACCCTGGCTTTTCCTCTCCTCCTTGAACTTGTCAAGTTCGTGTCGGCCTCGGGGCCTTTGTTCTTGCTGTTCTCTATATGTGGAATGGTGTTCCCCCATCTTTCCACGGCAGCTGCCGCTTACCATCAGGTCTCAGCTGAAACGCCACCTCCTCAGAAAGGCTTTCTCTGATGAGTCCAACTCCGTCATACTTTGTCACGTGCCATTTTGATTTT